CCCCCCCCCCCCCCCCCCCCCCTTTTTTTTTTTTTAACTCCTCAGAGGCCACCGGTTGGATACCCCTGCTGTAACCATGGAAGAAAAAAAGAAAGGATACCTTTTTTCCTATGTTCTGCTGTGGTGTAACAGTGTTTGTAACCAATCCTGTGGTTTGACTTCAATTCCTTGCATTTCTTTTAATTCTAGATGGTTTGTTCTTGTTGTATGGTAAAATTATATAGAAAAGAACTGTCTGTCCTGTAAAGCGCCTGAGCATGTTAATGGTTACCTGTTTCCCTGAGCTGTGCATGCAGTTTGGCACACCAGAAGAACCAGCAACAAATCTGCTTTTGACAGCTGTAACCAAAGAGATCTTATTCCAGTACTGTATAGGGAAAGGCTGGTAATCTGAAATGCTGACAACTAACACTAGTTTATGATTTGTTGTTAATTTTAAAAGAAATTTCCACGTATCATCAGAGGGCACAAAATCTGGCTTGACAATAGAATGGTATTAACTTAGGAATTTGCTATCATCTTCTGCTTCTGAAAGAGAGATTTACTTGAACCGTTTAACCATCTGTCATCTACAACCTCTTTTGTAGAACAAGGATTCCTGCAAATATCACAAACTAGGTTTTTTTGTGAAATATCACAGATGCTCAAAGGATATGGCTGCGATTAACATCAGAATAATATTCTCACCTACAGAATTAAATAAACATAAAAAGCAGGCAATATAATTGGAAACTTGTGAACTAATTATTTCACAAGGAACAAGGTAATATTGTACTAATTCATATAGAGCTACACTCTGGTACCACCAGACCTACAACATATTCTTATGGCCCCCCTGTTAAGAAGAATTGCAGATTATAAACTACTCCATTCCTAGAATAATCAGGTTGTAGTATTAACGTTTTAGCTAGTGTTGGAGTGATGTTGCAACTGTGATAGTCCAGGAAGACGGTGAGAGGCAAAGATTTTTGTGGGTGACATCTTTTATTGGACCAGCTATGCAGTTGGTCATCTGTTAATCACTAACAGTGGACATCTTTGTATTTTTGGTGTGTGCTTCATGCTACCAGTAAATTACAGAGTTAGTCCAATAAAAATATCACCCACAAAAATCCTTACCTCGATATTTTACTTGTGATTTAAGTGTAATTTTTTATGGTAATACTTTGCTGGCAATACGAAACATGAACCAAAAAACCCCCCAAAATGCCTACTCACTGTCAGTGATTAACAGGTGACCATCCCAAAACATGGGCAAGTAGCACATTAAACAGGAGAATATACTTGAATACTTCTAAATCATATACATATAGTGAAAGACAAAGTTTGATCAACTTCTGTTCCATGTGTTTTATCTTTTGCCCTTCCAAATGACCTCACCTAGCAAAACTCATACTTTTGCTTTGAAAAACAAAAGCAAACAAAAGTACTTAAGATGTTTCCCTCCTTCCCCTCCCTGCCTCTGGAGTTGTCAAGAGTCACTGGAAACACTCCAGTTGCATTCACTATGGTATGGGGAGCAGTTCTGAGTGGGGAAGGATGGATCTTGGTATTGGTGTTTTAGCCTTCTCAGTAAGTCCTAAATGCCTTGTGTGGTATGGTGAACCCCTAGCTTAAATAGTACCCCAGTTTAAACTCCTAGAAAAGTAGGCCCCCCCCCAATCTCAAGCATTAGGCTTGCATCTAACTGAACAGCCAGGCATTTTATAACAGCACCAGCTACCCCATAAAGAAAGCTTAAATTCCAAATGTTGAAGCGTCCCAGTCAGAGCCTGGGTACAGTTCTTCAGGTTTGGTATGTTAACAATACCTTTTTTCTCCCCAGAAAGGGAAATGATGCTTAAATGATCTCAGATTTGGAACACTGACCTTAGCCTATATATCTCACGGAACCAATTTTGAAAGGAATAAGAATAATTAGTAAACTCTAAGATGTTTTTAGAGGGATGTGAAGTGGCTGTTCATCTCACTCTGATCTCAGCTGGATGAGAATACCACATGGAAATTTGAGAAGTGATCTGCACCAGGCTTCTCAGTAGATGTTTCACTCCTTTCCAATGGCTGGTCTGGAGAGCCTGTGATTATAAAGGTGCACCAGCTCTGCTCCAGTTATGGTCAAAAACCCCTTAGTTCTGCTACGTGCTCTGAAATCCACACGCTTGCATGGCAATCTGTTGTGCATTGTGGGTTTAGTATTCCAAATTCGGGAACATTATTTTTTTGGGAAGGAGCCCTTGAAATACAGCCTCATAAGATTAAAGGAAAGTAGGGTTGGAAGTTACCTCACAAAGTCATCTATCCGGTCCAGCACAAAGGCACTATCATCCCTGACTAAATGATCCCGGCCAAATGTCTGTCTGACCTACTCTTGAAAATTTCCTGGGATGGAAATTGCACAGCTTCTTTAGGTAACCTGTTCCAATGCTTGACCATGCTCCCAGTCAGAAAGCTGTTCCTAATCTCCAACCTAAACTACTTCTGCTACAATTTGAGGCCATTGCTCCTAATTCTGTCCCTTACAGCCATAGAGAAAAGTCTTTCTCAATCCTCTTTTATATTTTCCTTTCAGGTATTTGAAGACTGTTATCAAATGCTGCTTCAATATTCTCTTTTCCAGACAAAATGATCCTCGTTCTTTCAGCCTTTCCTTGTAAGTCTTGCTTTCCAGGACTTTAATCATTTATGTTTCTCTCTATTGGACCCTTTCCAAGCTGTCCACACCTTTCTTGAAGTGGTTTTTTTTTTTTTGGTTTGTTTTTAATGGCAGACTGTTTTAACACCGCGTTATAAAGTTGCACAGGGATTTCCTATGCTTGTCTATAATATCAGCAAAATTTGAATTTCTGGAATATAGGAAATATAAATTTAAAGTTTGTGTCAACACAACCTTGAAGTCTCCCTTCGTGAATACTGCCCCAATCAGCCTATAACATGTATTCTTATGCTGTTTCCCATGATCCAGTGAAACTGTACCTGACGGAGGGAATGTTTCTGGAAAAGCATTTTGTCAGATCCAGGAGGACAGAGTGCAGGTTGGATGAGTATCTTAACATTCATTTCTTAGTTTTTAGCAGTTTTTTTTATGAAGCTTGAAGTTCTGGTAGGGACCAAGATACTACCAGCTACTCTTACCTCTGCTTTCAGTGACAAAAAACTTTGGTAATATTCATCAAATATTCCTGTCTTCCACTCCCCACTTAGCAGAGCAAGGCTACCCCAGTTATCTTCTGCAAAGGGATTAGAGGTGGGATTCAAAAACTTCTACCCT